TGGACACGTCCTCCCTTGCGCGTCTCGCCCACGGCGATGCCCGACTCTGAGAGCCCGTCCTCCGTGCAGGGTGGCATTCCGTGAACTCCAGGCAGGTCGGCAAAGAGAGTCGAGAGTAGTTGAGCGTGGTGCCATGGTCGGCGAGGAAGGAGGAGGAGGAGGAGGAGGAGGAGGAGGAGGAGGAGGAGGAGGAGGAGGAGGAGGAGGAGCCTCCTGACAAGCAGCTCGGTTTTCGTGTCGCCCACGCGCCAGCACGCCAGCACCTGCTCCGTCGTCAAGCTCTTCACGCTTCCGTCCTCCAGCCACCTGGTCGCGCCCCCTGCCATGGCAGTGCGCCCCAGCCCCGCCAAGCACAAGTCCAACCGCCTGTCCTGCGCGTCCGACAGGATGACGCATTCCATCACTGACAGTATCGCCCCCAGCACCGTTCCCAGGAACACCACTCGCTTCCACCGCCACGGCGTCGATAGGCTCCAGAAGGCGCCCATCGCGTAGAAGGCCGTCTTAGCCGCTTCGCACCTCCGCGGTGTCTCGAACTCCGCCGTTCCTTTCGGGGATATATGAGGCCCCAGGTACCTAGCCACGTCGTTCAGCTCACCCTGGATGCCGTCCTCGCCCTCGCCTTTCTCCTGTAGTCACCTGTTGCATGCCGTGGAACCGCTGCCCTGAAGCAGGAAGCTCGTCACCTGCTTCTCCCTGTTCTGCCGCATGCCTAGCGCCCCCAGCTCCGTGTCCAATGCATCGTCCGCATTCCTGAGCTTCTGCACCGCGTCCTTCATTGTCGTCCCGATGGCCAGCAAGTGGCCGTCTCCTATCTTCACCGTGTGAGCCCCCTCTGGCGTCGGCAAGTCCACCACCATGTTCCTGTACCTCTGCCTGCTGAGCTCCTCGTCCTGCCAGTCCGTGTTCCGCTCCGCTGCCGAGTCCATCGCCCGCCAGCTGACCGAGTCAAAGGCGTTCTGTAGGTCTTGCATCGTCACCGCGAAGCTCATCATCATCATCATCATCATCATCATCATCATCATCATCATCATCATCACCACCATCATCATCATCATTATCATTATCATTATCATCATCATCATCAACGTCAACCTCATCATCATTATCATTATCATCATCATCATCATTACCATTATCATTATCATCAGCATCACCATCATCATCCTCATCACCATCACCATCACCATCATCATCATCAGCATCATCATCACCATCATCATCAGCATCATTATCATCAGCATCATCAGCATCATCACCATCGTCATCATCATCAGCAGCAGCAGTATCATCACCATCATCATCATCATTATTATTATTATGACCATCATCATCACCATCATCATCGTCATCATCGTCATCATCATCATCATCATCGTTCTCATCATCACCATCATCAGCATCAGCATCAGCATCAGCATCAGCATCATCATGAACATTATCATCATCAACATCATCATCATTATCATTATCATCATTATCATAATCATCATCATCATTATCTTTATCATCATCATCACCATCATCATCATTACCATCACCATCACCATCATCATCATCAGCATCATCATCACCATCACCATCACCATTAGCATCATCATCATAATTATCATCATCACCATCATCATCATCATCAATATCATCATTATCATCATTATCATCATCATCATCACCATTATCATTATCATTATAATCATCATCACCATCATCATCATCATCACGATCACCATCACCATCATCATCAGCATCATCATCACCATCATCATCAGCATCACCATCATCAGCATCATCAGCATCATCATCATCGTCATCATTATCAGCAGCAGTATCATCACCATCACCATCATCATCATCATCATTATTATAATTATTATTATCATTATTATCATTATTATTATTATTATTATTATTATTATTAACTTTATTATTATGATCATCACCGTCATCACCATCATCATCGTCATCATCATCATCATCATCATCATCATTATCATCATCATCATCATTATTCTCATCATCACCATCATCAGCATCAGCATCAGCATCAGCATCATCATCGACATTAACACCATCAGCACATATCGTCAGCACGCATCACCTTTAAATGTGTATCCACAGCTTGGAAAGAAGAGGTGTGGTCAAAATGTGACGTGGAGTTCTGCCAGGGTGGAGGAGGAGATGGAGCAGGAGGAGGATGAGCAAGTATGCGCCGTGCTTGCTCTGCTGCTTTTAAGTGAAGGGATGCCCCACCCCGCATGTGCTTTTTACCGTGGTAGTGGTCTTGCAGAGGATGGCACTTTTTGTGGCTGGATCTCTCAAGCTCTCCGCGCCTCTGGCGGAATGCGTTGCGAGCAGGAACGCAGCAAAGCCACAGGAAAGTGCGGCATTGCGAGCAAGAACACAGCAAAGCCCCAGGAGAGCGAGGCATTGGCAGTGTAAGTTTGCCAGAGTTTGTCGTCGGAGTTTGCCAGAGTTTGCCGTCTCGTAGTCGTATTGTCGCCTGCCCGTGGCTGCTTGCAGGCTGCAGAATGTGAGCTCATCAAGATCGCCCCTCCGATTCTCTCCCGGGTCTACAACCAGCTAGGTGCTGGCATTGTCAAATTGACGAGCGCGCGTCAGATCAAAGCTTTCCCAATTCCTTTTTTACTTGCGCAGATGATCACGACTCTTATGATTATCCACTGGATTTCGAGTTCGGTTGCCTACGCACTGTCACTGCAAAGCGTGCTCGCAGTGATGCTTGTGTGCTTCCTCGGCCAGATGTGCTTTTGGGGAGTTCACTATATCGCCGTGGAAATGGAAGGTCCTTATGGTGGTGAGGCGAACGACTTATGTTTAGAGGAGCTTCGGCAGGGCACTGAAGACGGGGGGATAGAGGCAAGTGGCCGGTGAAGCCTGGCAGCATTCTAACCCACGATGTGCCTCACTTCTTCTGGCGTCTTCATCTGCCTCAAACTGGTCCGGCCGAACGGTTCTGACGACGAGCTGCGGCCAGACTGTGACCCTCGTCGCCTGCGCCCCTCCAGCCACGGGGCGGTTCGACCGGCCACCAGCCGTTCGACACGGCTGTCAGGGGCAGCGATAGGGGGGATATGCATAGGGGGGGATGCGTCGCCGCTTCTGCTCGTCCGACAAGCTGCGGGTCCACTCGCGCCGTGCCCCCGCCTTCTGACTGGGACGGCTCTCCGTGCCGCGTCGCCGTGCCAGCCGTGCTTTCGCCGCGCTGCGAAACTCGCCCGCCTCCTCTCCCTCCGACCGAGAGAGGCGCTGCCGGCGCGTGGGCCCCATCGACCCGCCGCCCATGAATCGCCGCTAGGGGTCTGACAGCCCCAGCCCGCCCAGGACAGTGCGGACTCGCCCTCGTGGGCCTGTCGCCGATCCACCGGCGATGTCTCGCCGATTCTCGGTCGGCGTTGTCCCTCCTGAGCCGGTCCCCCACGTATCGCTGCCCCTCGAGAAGGAGCAGCAGTGACATGCTGCCGTTGGGAGCCTGCCAGCGTGTCGCTCCTTCGTTTTTGTCCGAGGGTTCGGTGTCTCTTCCGCAGGAGCGTGCTGGTGGTTTCCCCCCGGCGGCGTGCCGTGGGTGCTGCTTCTGCTCCCCCGGTCCCTGCGTGTCTGCCTCCCCCTCCTCCTCCTCCTCCTCCTCCTCCTCCTCCTCCTCCTCCTGCTACTCCCCCTCCTCCTCCTCCTCCTCCTCCTCCTCCTCCTCCTCCTCCTCCTCCCCCTCCTCCACAATTACTCAATATGAATATTACTCTCCCTCTTCCCCTGATGACAGTTTGAAAGTGGCCGACCCCCCCCCCGCGTACTTTTTTTTTACACAGGTTTCCCCGGAGTTGGGTTTTCGCTTGCATTTTTTGTCCAAAGTGCTGCTCTCGCTGAGGCACCGGCCTCATTTTCGGGCCCCGCTCGTTCCGAATCGTGCTCCCGCTGCAGCGTTGGCCTCATTTCCGTGCTTCCACTCGTTCCGACTCGTGCTCCCGCTGCAGCGCTGGCCTCATTTCCGCGCTTCCGCTCGTTTCGACTCGTGCTCCCGCTGCAGCGCTGGCGTCATTTCCCGTGCCATGCCACGGCATGCAATGCAATGCTAGGTTGATACTACGCTTTGCGGTGCTCTTCTACGCCATGCCATGCCGTGCTGTACAATGCATCGCGTACCCTTTCGGGATCATTGCCCTGCTCGACATCCGACTGAGCGAGTAGAGAGGGGATCTGCGCATGGTAAGGGATGGGAGGGAGGGGTAGGATGTCAGACATGACGCGAGCGCACCTAGCTTGCCCTCCTCCCCCTCCTCCTCCTCCTCCTTCTCCTCCTCCTCCTCCCTCCTCCTCCTCCTCCTCCCCCTCCTCCTCCTCCCCTCTCCTCCTCCTCCTCCTCCTCCTCCTCCTCCTCCTCCTCCTCCTCCTCCTCCTCCCTTCCCCCTCATCCTGCTCCTCCCAGAATAGGCACAGCGGCCCCGCGCGGCATGCAATGGTTTCGGTAGCCAGTCATGGGAGCCTGGTATGCCCTCGCAATTTTGCATCGATTAGCCGTTTTGGAGTCGGTGACATAGCGCCGATTTAGCGTCGATGGGCGTCGATGAGCGTCGATGCAGCGTCGATGTAGCGTCGAATAGCAACCGCCGACAAGATGGTGTTGGAGGCTCCGATGAGTTGCCACCGAACAATGGTTGTACTATTCCGTCGACTTGTCCGCCGTCTTTGGGGCCTCTTGGGGTCCTCTTGGGACGTCGTGGGGCGATCCAGATAGGCCAGCACCGCGGCACTCCTGATAGGGGGCGGGTTGACAGGGTGCGCGCGCTCGCGTCTTCTTCGGTGGCGAGCGAGGGGGGGGGGAAGTGAGAAGGCGAAGGCCTTCTCAGAAGGCGTCGGGGCTTCTCAGAAACCCTCGCGCCTGCTGAGAAGTTTTCTGTGTCTTCGGGAAAGGCTTGACTTATTGTCAGAAATCTGGCGGATTTACGAACCTTCAGAGAAGGCTTTCTCCTTCTCTTTTCCTCCGATGTCTGCCCCCATTTTTTGTTGTTATTATTATTATTATATATATATATATAAAACAAACAATATATATATATATATATATATATATTCTCTCTCTCTCTCTCTCTCTTTTTGTTTCTCTTTATCTCTCTCTCGTGCAGTCCCTCGTTCTTTCGCCCCGAATACAGGATATGCAGTCGGACATGAACAGGAGCTTGCTGGCCATTGCGCATCCACTGGCGCGGAACACGCCCACGTTCGAGCATGATTATGGATAGTTTTTGCTGTCCTGTTGCTGCCTATACCCGTGCGACTCTTTTTCCAGCTATCTTGGGCGTTCTATCCCTGATCGCCTCTGTACGTTGCCCCCTGTGAACGAATCCAGACCACATGCTTTTTTTGTTGTTTGTCAGAGGGTCCCTTCTGCTTGCATCTTGGCCACTTTGAACTACCATTTTACCAGCAGCAGACGTGCGTAAGTGCAAGTGTCTGTGTGTGTGTATGTGTGTGTCTGTGTCGGTGTGTCTGTCTGTCTGTCTGTCTGTCTGTCTGTCTGTCTGTGTGTGTGTGTGTGCGCGGCCATCTAGCAATCCGCGCCTCCCCTCCCCCAAGCGGCGCACGTCCTGCTCGACGACTACTTTGCCGGCGGCCGGGCGATTTCCCTTCAGATCGCCCGCAGCCCTCGTGGGACGCATGGCGACACTTATACTCGGCCCCTCAGTCAGCGCCCCTTGGCGTTGATGGTAAGCCATACGACGTGTACCACAGCGGACTGCTCTTCGTCTCCCTCCTCCTTGCCAAAACATGGTATGTCGCTGACCAGAATCCCGCCCTGCTCGCCACCGTGCTCAGCCCTTCTGTCGACCTGCTCGTGTGGATCCTGAAAGTCCCCAGCGCCGAACGCTCCAATGGCCTGAGGCCCCTGCAGCTCCCCACCTGCATGCGCCGCCTCTTTGGAGCTTCGCTGGCCGATCTGGTCGGGCTTATCATTGAGCCTCAGTTCTCCCCCGATCAGGCCGCCAAAGAAGGCGGGCAGTGCGGGCCCAATGTCCGTTTGGCCACGGACCACCTTGGGCGCGCCCCTGCTTCTGCGCCTGACAACCCTGGCGGGACCTGGGATCGCCTTGTGGGGAAACCCCTGGAAACAGTTGAAGCGCACATAACGCAGGCCACCCGCAACGTCGGTGCCACCCCCTCCACAGCCATCTTGTTTGCCGACCAGATCAAGGCGTTCGAGAGGCTCTCAAATACAATGGCTCGCTGCGGTGCTCAACCGCTGGGGGCTTCCTGCTTGGCTGCAGAAGGGCCTTTTCGACCTTGTGGTCCGCCGCGAAGTTCAGATTCTGCGGCGTACATACATAGGCCCCCAGAGGAGCCTGTCCAGATCCATTGGGATGGGAGCGGCAGCCGGCCGATGCCCCACCTACGTGGACGACCTGGCCAGTCTCCTCGACTCTCCCGAGCAGACCATTCGCGCGTCCATTATGCTGCCGTGGGCCTCCAGGGCCGCGGGCTCCTGGTTGTTTGCGCACCCCCCAGCGGCTTGGAACGCTACCACCTGCGACTGCACCCGCCGTCAGGGCGCCCCATGCCTGCAGTATCTAGCAGCCTTCACCGACCAGCAGGACCGGCCGCTCGATGGATCCTGCAGCCTACTCAAGGACTGCAGCGGGGCGACCTTCCAGCTCGCAAGGGCGAACGCGACCCTGGTACTGATGCTCCTTCTGATCAGGGAGCCGAGGCCCCACTTGGCGCCCAACGGAAGCCCTGGCCATATCGGCGACATCCTTGAGCCTTGAGGCCACTTTGGGCATCTGTCTTCCCTGCAATCATGCCCGCATTCCGGTGCGTGACAGCTTCGGCCGAGCCCACAACCTCGTGGACACAGACTTCCGCAGAGTACATGGACGCCCAGAGGCCCTCATTGAGGTATGCTCTCGGTTGGTAACCGTGGCGCACTGCCGCCCTGACGTACAGGGGACAATGCCAGCGTGCCATGGAGGGAGGTCTCCCCCAGTCACTTCTCCTTGAAGCCCATGCTGGACGCCCTGGCTCACCTCTTTCCCCCCGCGGACCTCTCTCTATAACCTGCAAGCCTACCGCTGCGCCGGCTGCGCTCTCTCGCAGGCCTTCCTCGGGTCCAGCGTTGGCCTCCTCCCAGAGGGGCACGAGGCCACAAACCCGCAGTATTTGGGGGGCGGACTGTCGGGGGCCGGAAAGGACCTCGTCGCCCCCTCCCCTGCATGCGTGCCGCCCGGGGCCGTTATCTCCCCTCCCAGCGTCGGCCTGGATGACGACCACTCAAGCTGGGCATGAGCAGCCCCCGCATCTACTGCGACCAGTGCGGGAGAGACCCCTTCAACCCCCAGAAAGACAATGGAGGAGCGTGGATGGACGATGCGGTCAGAAACATGGTTGCCGCCAGCCGCCTGGGATTCCATCGCCGCGGGGTTGACTGTCGCTGGCACTGCGCGGGGTGCTGGCACGCCGGCCTGTCAGTCAAGGGATTGCCTGCGCCAGCTGACGGCAAGGTGGCAGCCCGCCTAGCCACCCTCGGTCCGCAGCGCACTGGCTTGCGCCGCCCCCCCGGCCCCCTGTTCCCCACCCGTCCAGGATGCCACCTCATTGGCAGACCTCCTACTGGTCCCGAAGGGCCCGCGTGGCCCCGCCCACGCGCGCACCGCCATTCTTGTATTCCGCACCGTGGACGACAGGTTCGGCAGGAACCTCACTTGTCGCTCTTGGGAATGCCAGTGCGATCCTTGCCTGGGGGGCGTTCCAACGAGGCAGTGGCCATGTGGGGGCGCCCCTTTGGGCGCGATTATCTTTTGTCCTGGGAAGGAAGTGCATCTGCAGCTACATTGCGGCATTCCTATCCCCGGTGAGCGCGCTCAAGCCTTTGCCGGCGTGAAGTGGGGCGCCACCTGGTTCTGCGAGGACTGCCTTATGCATCTGTGGGGTGCCCGTCTCAGTCAGGTCCGGATCATCCTCGACTAGACGGTCGTGGCCTGCTCCCTCAGGAGGTGCTTGAAGGAGGGGGGTGCCGCGCCCTCCTGGGCCCAGCGCCCAAGCACCCAGGCGGCCCAGCAGTCCATCCGCGCCCCCCGGGTCAGACCCATTAGGGGCCTCGCCACCATGCCGAAGGCTGGCCTCCAGCGAGTCGCGAGGGCTACGGGCACCTCCGACCCCCGCACCTCCCCTCGACAGCGCCCCCGCCCCCGGCCACCCGTGCGGCGGCCGCGCGCCCTGGGGGCAGACGGGCTGAGCAACGTCGGCCCACGCAGGAGCAGGTCCGCCGCGGAATCATCAACTTCAGGTCCGCCGCGCGTGCCCCCCGGCCGCCGGCAGCCGCCGCGCCTCGCAGCGAGCCTCCGCGCGGCGGGGCAGGGCCTCATCCGGTGGCCGCCTCGAGGGTGCCCGCAGCCCCCTCTCTAGGGCGCGTCGCCAGCAGATCAGGTCGGCCTCGGCGCCAGGCGCGCGCGGCAGCTCGCGGGCGGAGCCGACGGCCGACCCCGCGTCGCCCCCCCCCGAGCCTCGTGGATGGCCCCCCCTAGTGTTAGACCCCCGGCATACCCCCGCCTATGTTAGGGCCATCGCCATTCTGCAGGCGGCCAGGCACACCCATCCCGACAAAGCGCCCGGGATCGCCGACAATGCCATCGCGCGCATCGTGGTGACGTTTGTCCGAGCAGTTTCTCCAGGGGGCGACGATCGCTGGAGGATATGGGCGTGGAGGATCGCCGACTCCGCGCTGCGCCAGCCCGAGAGAGGCATGGGCCCCCTCTCGAACCCCAGAGATTAGCCGAAGCATGCTGTCGGGAGTTTCTGGCCTCCATCGATGGCGACTCCATCCCGGCGTCTGGGGTCCCGACGGGAGTCCACTGGGGCGGTGAGCGCGCCACTTTGGCCCTCCTGGTTACCCGCCTGTATCGGGGGACTTCCATGCCCCCGCCACCTCCCATGCCCCCGCCAGCTCGCGCAAGGGGCCCGACGAGTGGGATGCGCGCCGCAGCGAGCGCGACCCCAGAGCGTCCAGGAGGAGACGAGACCTGGCATGGTACCGCCGGGAAATCCTGCTTGGCTACTTGGAGTCAAGGGGGATCACTTCGCTTCAGTACCCGCGCGTGCGGGACTTCCGTGCAACCGCTGGAAAGAGAGGCTCGCCCTCACTGAAGTCCCCACCAGTGCTCCCCCACGCGCAGCTGCTGCCATCCCTTCGGATTCAGCTCCCAAGGGGAGGTCGGCAGCCCAGCGTCCCAGCGGCAGCTGTTCTCCGCATTCGGAGCAACCCAGACTGCCGCCCCCCCCTGCGCCGCCGAGGCCAGACTCGGAGCGGCGTGCCCACGGCCAGTCCCCCACCTCCTCGGGGCGTGGAACTTTGTCCTCACGCCTCCCCCGAGGCTCGGTGGGGCAGGGCGGGGGGGGCTCCAGCTCCCGCTCCGCCTCTCGCGAGCCCCCCCGCAAAAGCACCTGCGACTGGGTGCCCCCTCGGGAAGTCCTGCCAGCGGGCGTTCTGGGAGGAGGCGCGGCCCCGGCAATTCCCCTCAGCCAGCGGTCAGCGGGCCCCCTCCCACTGGCCCTGTTCGTGCTGGGGCCCCGCCGGCAGCGCAGCCCCAGTCCGGCGCCTCGCCGACCGCGGACGACGAGCCAGTGCGCAGAAGTCCCATGTCAACCGAACAGTGCAGCCCGGGCGCGCCCCAAAGGTGGCGCGACCGCTCGGTCGGACAGCAATGGCGGGCTCTGCAACTTGCCGAGGCACCAGGTTACCAGGTTTCCTATTCGGAACCACCGAGACAACGCAGGGGAGGACTGGATCGGTTATCAGCCGCCTCAAGAAATAATGTGGCCCCCTGCTCACCATTGGGTGGAACGCCGTCAGTGACCAGGAGTCTGGGCCCCGCTCCGCCAAAGATCCGCAGCGTCGCATCCTTGAATTCTGTCGAGGTTTTGTGCGTGACGTCAGCGAGGTCAACTACGCCGTGCGCAGGCTCTGCTGGAAGAAAAGCATGCGCGTGGATTGGGAAGCTGAGTGTTATCGCGAACTTGACAAGCGGAGGCGTAACTCTGACCTCGCGAAAGGCAAGGGGAAGGGTGCTCCGCCGCGCGGGAAAGGGAAACGGCCAGCGGACTCCTCGCGGCCATGGGGCGACCCTTCCCGCCAGCGCGGGTCAGTTTCCAGCGGCCACCGCCGGTGGCTTTCAGCAGCCGCCCCGCGACCTCGCCCTGTACTGGGCATGGCGCCCCCGCTTTCGCAGTGGCTTCTCTAGCCGCTGCCCT